TGAATGAGAATGCCCCCCATAGGCTCCTATTTGAATACGTGGTCCCTCATCAGTGGATCTGTTTGGGAAGGATTGGGAGGTGTAGCCTTACTGGAAGAGGTGTGTCACTGGGGTTGGGCTTTGAGGATACTGTCTTCCTGTCTGTCTACTGGTTGTGGAGAAACTGGAGGCTCTCTCTCAGTGCACACCTTTAGTTCTAGGACTCAGAAGGCAGAGACAGGCAGATTTCTGAGTTCAAGGCCAGCCTGGCCTACAAAGAGAGTTCCAGGACAGCCAGGACTACATAGAGAAACCCTGTCTTCAAAAAACAAACCAAAGACAAAAAACCAAAGATGTAACCTCTCAGCTGCTGCTCCAGCACTATGCCTGCCTGACTGCTGTCATGCTCCCCACCATGATGGTCATGGACCAACCCTCTGGAACTGTAAGGAAGCCCACAGTTAAATACTTTCTTTTATAAGAGTTGCCTTTGGTCATGGTATGTCTTCACAGCAACAGAGCTGTAACTAAGACAGATACTTGTGAGTACCACTAAAGTCATCTAATTCATTTACAAACAGAGTGAAATCTCATATCTTTCCTGGCGCTTAACTGCTACTCTTTGGGGACTGCAGCACCGAGCCGGTTCACCCAGTTAGGGACGGGTGTTGCCAACACTAGGCTACCACGCTAACAGCATTCTGGCCATGGTGTCCACTCACAGCCCTATCCAGTAGCTGCTGAGAGCGCTGTGTGACTCCATCAGGAGAGAAAGGAGAAAGGTATCTCTTGTTCAGTGGTGGCTCCATAGGTCTGAGTAACTTCTTTCTTCCTTCTTCAATTGCTGTTTCATGGTGGTGGTGACAGTGACCGGCTAGGCAAGCACTCTTCCACTGAGCTGTTCCCCCCCCCACACATGCTTGCATTCCTCAACAGTTTGCTTTCTTCCATTCCAACTAGAAGTCAGCACTTCCCAGCTCCCAACTTTGTGAAGCTGCAGACTCACCCTCAATGTGACTCACTCAGCAGGACCGGATACCATTTTTAAAATACATTCCAAAACAGCTGGGTGTGGTGGTGGTGCACACCCTTAATCCCACTACCTGAGAGGCAGAGGCAGGGGGAGCTCTGTGAGTTCACTGCCAGGCTGGTCTCTCTAGGGAGCCTCAGCCCAGCCAGAGACAGAGTTGGGTTTTTAAAACATCATTTTCTAGGTTTACCTTGGCCACATCATTATGAGGCTCCACACGTAGCACACTCTGCAGGTCCTCCCTGGCCTCCTGGAGCTTGTTCTGATGTTTGTATGTAGTAGCACGTCTCAGGAGAGCTGAAAAGGCACCAGAGTGAAGATGTGACAGTTTAATACATAGCACGGTGGCTCCGTCGCAGTTTGCACAGGGCTTGAACCCCAGGTCCGCGTCTGTGTTGTGGAGCACACAGAACGTGCCCTGTTGCACACAGAAAGGGCTTCCCTGGGCGTCAGTCTGTTCTTTCGGTCTTTGAGACTTTCATACATGCAAATTATGCTGTGGTCAAATCCATCCAGCCCCTCCCCTCCAATTCTTTCCTCACTCCCTCCCAACTTTCATTTCCAATTTCATGAGCTCTTAAAGCAAGCAAACAGAAGAACTTACTGCGTCCACTCAGAGTTGAGTGTGTGTGGGCTGTCTACTAAGGTGTGAACAGTGTGCTAGTTTGAATGAGGACCGTCCCCATGAGCATCGGTATTTGAAGGCTTGGCTCCAGTTGGTGAGGCTGTTTGTGGGGGTGCAGCCATCCTGGGTTAAGTATGACAGCAGGAGCCGGCTCTGAGAGTAAAAGCTTCATTCGACTTCCAACTGACTCTCTAGCGCTTGCGGTTAAAAGTGTGAGTTTTCAGTGGCCAGTTCTGTCTGCCACGCCTCCCTACCGCCACGGACTCTTTTCCCTCTGGAATCATAAACCCCAAAAAACTCTCTCTCTTAAGTTGCCTTGGTCACAGTGTTTTAACAAAGCAAAGCAAAGTAACTCAAATGGGTCGCCTCTCCAGGGGCTGCTTCTGAAGAAAGCGGACTCCCTAGGCAGCTTCAATCCCCTCTGAATAACTGGCCCTCTGGCAGCACCGGATCCACGACTCCTCTCAACCTTTCCCAGCCGCACACCACCGTGCCTGCAGCACCGGAAGCTTTCACAGAACTGTAACACCTGGCTTCCTTTAGCCATCGCTGCCTGTAGTTCATCATTTTCTGGGAATTTAGAAGACCCCTCACAGAACTTTGGTAAACACTGATCGGCAAAGGATAGATTAAAGCACTTTAGCATACTTGATTGAGCCGTTTATTTTTGTTTTGGTGGTAGTGGGGAGGATTGTCTTTGTTGGGCTTAATTTGGTTTAATTTTCTGAGACAGGGTCTCATAGCATACACTGGTCTGGAACTCCTTGTACAGCCAAGAACCTTTAAACTCTGGTCTCCCTGCCTCCACCTTCCAGACCGTTCCAGTGCTGGGATTACAGGCATGAATGCTTCTCCCACGTCTATATAGCTGTTTATGTAATGCTTAGAACTGGGTGTGGTGGCTGTGGCAAAGACCTGCATCCCAGCGTTCAGGGTGGTAAAGCAGGGCCAGCCGGTCCACTAAAATTATCCAAAAGCAAACTTCACATGTGGAACCATGGTGGAGCCCTGGAGACCACAACAGCTGGGGCCAGAAACTGAGCACTTTGGTAATTTGTGCCAGATTTTTTTTTGTAGGTTTCAATTTATAATTTAATAATCATTTAACACTAATAATGTACCCGTCTAGTCCTTTGGTCCATTATATGAGGTTATTTTGTGTAGTCAGACAGTATCTTGAGAAAAAATAGGCTTAACAATTCTGAAATGTAAGAAAGGGTGTATCAGATGTATTTTAATATGCTATCACAGCAAACAAGTAGAAATTAAGCAAACTTCTCTTGTTATGTAACTTAGTTTTAGCCTTGGAATGAGTCATGAAAATCTAAAGGATAAACCATTTTATAAAATCTTTAATCAAACTTCATTGTTGTGTATTGCCATTGTTATCCAGGTCTCTAAACTCCCACGAAGCTGCAGTCATGAGAGAAGACTTATGTTTGTAATTTTTAATTTTAGAATATTTGAGTTATTGGGGCATGTGAGGTGAGTGCAGATCTCCTCTGACCCCCCCCCCTCCCCATGAAGTCTCTTCCAGTGTGAACGTCTTACCATCTCTTGATTGGCTACCACAGTCAAAGAATAAAGAATTCCAAATCAGATTGATTAAAAGTGACGTGCCCAAGGTCACCCGAGACTGCCTGAAGCACGGGAGCAGAGAGTCGCTGTCTAGTTAGTTACCTTTGATGTTTCCGGGCTCCAGCTCCAAGGCCTTCTCACAGTTGTGGAGAGCACTGCTCCATCGCTGCAATCTGATTTCCGCTTGCGCTCGATTGTTGTAGGCAGACACGGTGGGAAGGGCTGACAAGCTCCTACGAGAGAATTGCAGGTTGGTGCTGGGGAGGCCGAAGACAAACTCAGCTAGAGTCGTGTTGAACGTGAAATGTCTCCCAGGCTGGTGGCACGGGTGGTGATCGGTTCTGGAAACATCGGGAGGCTAGGCCTAGCTGAAGAAGGGAGACTCCTGGGACTGGGCCCTTGGTGCACCGATGCGCTCAGCCCCATCCTATGTCATACCAGCAAGCCCACCGTGAAGCCAATAGCTTGTTCCCACCACCAAGATGTTCAGCCTCACTTCAGAGCCAAGCTAACATCAACTGTGGGTTCAACCCTCATGAGCCAAAACAAAGTTTCCCTCCTTGGAGCTGTTGTTCTTGGGTATTTACACAGTTGTGTAAAAGTAACGAGTGCAAAATGTTAGCAAAACAAATATGTACTGTGTAAGGGCTGAACTGTGTCCCTTCAGAGTTTGTTTGTTGAGCTGGGCAGTGGTGGTGCATACCTTTAATCCCAGCATTTGGGAGGCAGAGGCAGGCAGATCTCTGTGAGTTCGAGGCCAGCCTGGTCTACAGAGTGAGTTCCAGGATAGGCTCCAAAGCTACAGTGAAACCCTGTACTGAAACCCCCCCCCCAAAAGTTCATTAGTTTAAGCCCAAATCTTAAGTCCTTTAAGCCTACAATGTTTCAGGACATGAGTCTATTTGGATATAGGCTTTAGAGAAGTAGTTAAGCCAAGGCTCCAGCTCAGAGTGCGGACCTCGGTCCAATCCCCAGCACCACTCTCAGGGCCCCCTTCCCAGTCACTGTGATAAAAACAAGACACTGCATCCAGACTTTGGCTCACAGTGCAAACGCAGCCCACCACAGTGGGAAAACTATCATAGCACAAGCAGGGAGCAAAGAAAGAGGTGTGCTGGGGACAGTGGTCTTTTATTCTGTCACTTGTATTATTTTTAATAAAACACTGATTGGCCAGTAGCCAGGCAGGAAGTAGAGGCAGGGCAATGAGAACAGAAGAATGGGAAGAGGAAAGCTCAGTCTGCAGTTATCACCCAGACATAGAGGACGCAGACAAGAATGTCTCGCTGATGAACGGTATCAAGCCACGTGGCTAACACAGACAAGAACTATGGGTTAAGATGTAAGAATTAATGAATAAGAAGCCTGAGTTAAAAGGCCAACCAGTTTATGGTTAACGTAGACCTCTGTGTGTTTCTTCAGGATTGAACGACTGCGGGACCTGTCGAGACAGAAACCTCAGTCACAGAGGTGGATGTGTGCCTACTGCTAAGCATCCTGTCACCATGGATACAGTTCAGGATCCTTGGAGGGAATGGCACCAACACAGTGGGTGGGTTGCCCCAACTCAACACAATCAAGATAATAATCCCCCACAGGCAGGACGAGGGACCCAAGACCCCCGTGTGATTCCAGATTCTGTCAGGGTAACAAATAGTGCTAGCCACTGCCACCATCACCATTTAAAAAAAAAAAAAAAACCTTAAAAAGAGATAATTAACTTAGTCTCATCTAACAAAACTGATATCCTTATTAGAAAAAAGAGATTAGAACCAGACAGAGTGACAGGCACATAATGTGGGCATATAAGAAGACAGGTCCCTGTCAGCCTAGGACAGAAGCCTCTGAAGAAATCAACCCTGAGTTTAGATTTCACCTCGAGTTTAGACTTCTAGCCCTCAGAAGTATTGATAAACATCTTGTTCAGACCACTAGCCATTGTGATATTTTGTTTGTAATCTAACAGATAAAGCTTGCTTGAAGATCAGAGTGTGAAGCTAAGCCACTAGTTAGCCATAGAGGCCAGGCAGTGGTGGCATACACCTTTAATCCCAGGACTCAGGAGACACAGCCAGAGAGATCTCTGTGAGTTCAAGGCCACCCTGGGCTATATAAAATTGATCCAGTCCAAAAGCCTGGCGGTGGTGGATCATGCCTTTAATCCCAGTACTTGGGAGTCACATGCCTTTAATGCCACACTAGGGAGGTGGAGACAGGAGGGGATATGGCTGGGAGGAGAGAGGAATATAAGGTGTGAGGAGGGAGGAGCTCAGATACAGTCTGAGGATCTGTAGATCGCTCCTGCAGTCTGAGGATGCAGTAGACGTAAAAGGTCTCTCTGGTGGCTGACTGCACTGCTTCTCTGATCTCTCAGCTTTCACCCCTAATATCTGACTCTGAGTTGTTATTATTAAGAACAGTAAGAATTCGAGCTACAACTAGGTCTGTGGTGTCTTGGGATAGCAGTCCTAGCTAAATAATATAACCTATGTCGCTGAAATACAGTTCCCTCCTCTCAGATGACTCTAGCTCATGCCAAGTTGGCCTAAGAGGAGCCAGTGCACCTACTACTGCAGGCACTGAGTCTCCTACCCACATAGCTCCTGTCACAGAGCTGCTCCACAGCGGGTATCATTGCTCTGTCCCTTTAAAAAACGAGAAAATATGCGCAACTGAAAATCTAAGGTGTGCCTATCAATAGTCACAGGTAGGAAATACAGACAAGAGTCCCTCCTGGACAGTCGGCTTGCTGTCTTGTCTCCAGTCATCTCCAGTAACCACCTAGTCTTCACAACACCCGAGGGTGGCAGGCTTAGAGTTTATCACCTTGAGGAAATGAAGGCAAGAGAGGTGAGGCATCTGCCCCAGTGTAGAAGGCAGCAGACCTCAGTTCTCTGATCCATCAGACCGTACTGCTTAAATTCTTCCGCTAGCTGACCCCACAACAAAGAAGGGAAGGAAAATGTCACTCTGTAATAAACAGGAGAATCCACCAGTGAAAATCCACAGCAAGAAAACAAACAGCTGGGTGAGACGCTGGGTGCCTGTAACCTCAGGACCTGAAACAGGGAAGCAGGAGGATTGGAAGTTCAAGGCCAACCTGGACTCATTAGACTGTCAAAGGAGTGGGGGAGAGGGAAGGAGGGAGGAGGGAGGGAGGAGGGAAAGTGGGAGGAGGGAGGGAGGACAAGTATGAGGGGCAGGGTTGACGTCCACCTGACTGAAGACGGGAGGCTATGCTGAATGAACAACCCATGACTATCGCTTCTACCTGAAAGCCTGCTATGAGACAAGCCCCTCACTGGGCAATGAGGAGACAGTGGACTAAAACAACTGAGCAAGCAGGCTCTGCCTTCAGAATCAGACCGCACCAATCTGAACTGTGGCTTTGAGAAGAGCTGTGAAGGACTGTGAGCTGCTACCAGAGCCGGCTAACCTGGCAACTGTGTGCTGTGGCTGGGAGGTCCAGGAAGACTCCTCTAAGGAAGTCAAAGCTGAGTCCTAAAAGATAACGAGGGGAGGGAAACATCCACGGAGACCTTCTGGTCACAAGTGAATCCATGACGTCACAGTACAATACCCCGAGTGATTCCCACATAGACTATTCAGTTTATTTGTGTGGTCCCAACAATTAAAACATCACTTTAATTTTACATGTATGGGTATTTGCCTGCATATATATCTGTGACCACATGTGTGCCAGTGCCTAGGTAGATGCCCTTGAACTGGAGTTATGGAAGGTTAATGGCCATGTGGATGCAAGAAACTGAACCTCTGGAAAAGGAGTCAAGTCCTCAACTCCTGTGCCATTGCTTCAGCCCCTAAGATAGCACAATTCAGCCCCAGTGAGATGAAAACCCCCTTGCCTGGTGTAATACATCACGGCCTCTTCATAATCCCCTGCATGGAAAGCCTCATTTCCTTTTTCTCTTTCACGATTGGCAAGAAGACACTTTTCCTTCTCAGTTAGACCTGAAATAAACACACACATGAAAACAGAAAACAGAACCAAAGACCATTTCTCTAAAAGCTTAAATGTTGGTGTGCTTTTGTTTAAGGGCAGTCCTGGGACTAGAACCTGGGGGCTCAGACTCGCCCAAGAAGCCCTCTGCCTCTGCGCTACATTCCCACACCCTAAGAATACCTATTTTGACTGGAGCAGAAAGCCATAGATTAAACAAAATCAATTTAAAAATTTCCTAAGTAAAGGGCTATTTCTTTTTATCTAATCACCCCTAGTTTTTTGAGGAATTAGTTTTCTTTTTTTGTCCTTTTTGTTTGATTGTTTTTGTTTTGTTTTTCAAGACAGGGTTTCTCTGTAGCTTTGGAACTCGGTCTGTAGACCAGGCTGGCTTCGAACTCACAAGGTCTGCCTGCCTCTGCCTTCCTAGTGCTGGGATCAAAGGCGTGCACCATGGCTGACCAGCGAGGAGTTAGTTTTCTTTTGACTAGCTTTGTTTTTCTTTAAAGGTTATGTATGGACTTCAGAGGATAAACCATCTTGCTTCTTTTGTTCAATGCAAAAAGAAAAAAAAAGAGGGATTTTTAAAGGAAGAGGATTGGAACTAGGAAACAGAAAACAAAAGAATATTCTAAGAAAAATAGGTTTACATGTAAACTTCATTGTTAAGGCCAGCCACAGCGGTATATCAGCACTTGGATAATGGAGGAAGGATAATCAGAAGGCCAAGGCTATATGTAGAGTTCAAGGCCAACCTGGGCTATATGAGACCCTGTCTCAAACAAAATTGAGTAATTAAAGAGAGAAATAAATTTGTTAGAAGTGGTCAACTCTGACCAAAAATCTACAGACTTTAATGGAAACCAACAGTGCTCAAAGATAACGTTTCCTAGCTGACAAGTTTTCATCATAATTCACAGGCTAGAAAATGATGCATTATTTCCATTCTCTCTTATTACCTGCTGTGTCTATTTTTGTCTCAATTTTAGACAAATGAGCCTTGTTGTTTACTATTGTCTTTTCTTTGTAATCTTCATCAATTTTTGAACATTCTTTTTCCACATCAAATCTGAAATAACAACAAAAATGGGGGGGAATGAATAGCATCCTACAAGTGAGAAACAAAGTCATTAGTGTGTCGGAAGAGGAAATGCTCGGGACAGACTCAGTATAGGGCCTGAGATTTGGCGGCTTTGTTTTGTTTTTCTGTTTGTTTGTTTCTTTTTGTTTTTCCAGACTGGGTTCACTATGTAACCCTGTCCTGGAACTCACTCTGTAGACCAGGCTGGCTTTGAACTCACAGAGATCCACCTGCCACTGCTTCCTGGGTGCTGGGATTCAAGGTGTGTGCCACCACTGCCTGACTGAGGTGTTTTTTTTTTTCTAATGCTGGCAAATATTCGCGTACACCCAATGAGATCTATGGGGAATCCACAAGTTAAAACACAACATTCATGCCTGCTTCGTATACATGCAACCTAAGTATAGTTACATATAATGTTTTAAGTGATTTTATGAGTGAAACAAATGTCTCATTGTGTGGAATCATCCACTGACCATGCTAAGAGTTTCAGATGGGGAACACTTGGACATTCGATTCTTGTGTTATTAATGTTCAGCCTGTACTCTGTCCATACTCCTAAGTGAAACACTCTTCACAGGCTTGTTCCCTGAGTCGTCTGCATTCTTCCTTACATGGTTGCACCCACTTATAATCCCAGCGCTGGGAGGCAGAGGCAGGTGGATCTCCGAGAGTTCAAGGCCAGCTAGAGTTATATGGCAAGCACCATATAAAAAGTGTTTGGTAGCTTTACTAATGTAATTTGATACACTTGGTTTATCAGGTTTATACTATTTTAAATTATAGGATCTAATGAGGAAATATGAAACATACTTATCCCACTCTGCATAATCCCTCGGGATTTTCTTCTTGACGGGCTTACTTTTAGAACATACTTCCTGAAAGAATAAAATCATACTTCGTGAGATGTTTTCAGTCTAAGGTCACCAGGATTTATTATAAATGCACTGTGATCCATGGGAATAAGATACATAAATGGAATGGATCAAAAATATAGGTCCCCTTGAGGTTAAAACAACTCCAGCATCATGATATACTAAAGTACTGAGGTAAAAGACAGGGTTTTAAATTTATAGTTAATCCTGAGGATAATCTCACAGATTTTTAAGGACATACATAATATTTGAAAATTCACATGTGAGGATTAATGTTTTTCTTAAAATGAAAGCAGCACTGAGTTCAGTCTTCTAAAGCCGAGGCATTTAGAGGAACAAGAATAATGATTGGCCATATTAGTCAGAGCTCTTTTGTTTGTCATGACAGACACCCAATTTGGAATAATTCCAAAAATAAAAATAAAGAAGCAGGTCATAGCCAAACTGCTGCCGAAGCTTCCCGTGTCTGCTCTCCAACCTTTGCTCTCTTCCCGACACGGCACTCCCAGATTGATGACTATGTGCTTTCTCCCTGTGACAGGTGACACGGCCACTGCAGTCTGGATTATAACCACCAAGGCCTCATCAGAGTACACAAGAGTGGCCCTCCTCTCCTCTATCCCTTAGAGAAACTACAACGAAAGGCTCCAATGAGCTGTTCAGGGGCAAAATGACCCAAACTGGGTCCTAGACCCCATTGCTGATGATGAGGAAGCAGGGCAGGTTCTGCACAATAACCATTAGACCAGGGAGCACTTAATCTCCCTGAACACATCATACAATGCTTCCCTTGAAATGTACAAAGAGAAGGGAGCTGTGAAGGTGAAATGGTGTGGGAGAATTGTCTGTATTCTGTCAATCATATTTTAAT